CTATCTCTAGATTTCCAATGTGAGTGTGTGAATTTTTATTTTATTTATTTATTTTTTTTTTTTTTAGGACCCTACATAACTTCACCAGACACAGACACAGACACTAATCGTTACTTGATTTTAATCCGTGCGATTAGTTAACCAGGCTAGACCTGAGTTCTCACAAGATACACTGACCATAATAATAATAAGCCTAAACAGCACTTTAGACTCACAACATGACACACAACATACTGTAATATCTCCACCCTTAACTCAACCAACCACACAAACACAACTTCCTGAACAAACAAACGCAATAAATACAAGTAACGCAACACGCACTACAAAGACGCCCTCACCCACACGGCCTAGCACAGCTAAAAAACACAATACTCTTTCTTCTCAGAAACACACCACGTTATCACAACCCACTCGTACTCAACCCAAACGCAGCAACCTTAACAGCACTAGAGGCTCACAAAATACCGTATTGTCTCCACCAATAATCCAAGCAACAACACAAATACAACCTCAAGAACAAAGAAACACCATAAATACAAGTAACGCAACTTGCACTACAAAGACAGGTCCACCCAATAAAGTTACACGTCCTAGCACAGTTAAAAAACGCAATACTCCTTCTTCACAGAAACACACCACATTATCACAACCCACTCGTATTCAACCGAAACGCGAAAACCTTAACAGAACTACACGCTCACAACATACTGTAATATCTCCACCAAAAACCCAAGCAACAACACAAATACAACCTCAAGAACAAAGAAACACAATAAATACAAGTAACGCAACATGCACTACAAAGACAGGTCCACCCAATAAAGTTACACGCCCTAGCACAGTTAAAAAACACAAAACTCCTTCCCACAAACACACCACGTTATCACAACCCACTCGTATTCAACCCAAACGCAAAGCCAAAGAAACACTTACACAATAAACTCTATTTAATAAAATTACAGGAATTATTATAATGATATTTTTGTTTTGTTTTCTTCTTTCCTGATAGCGTTGACTATTGTGGCCATTAATAGCTATGTTGGTAAGTATGAATTACATATACTATCCCTAGATTTCCAATGTGAGTGTGCGAATATTTATTTTATTTTTTATTTTTTTATTTTTCTTTAGAACCCTACATAACTTCACCAGACACAGACACTAATCGTTACTTGATTTTAATCCGTGCGATTAGTTAACCAGGCTAGACCTGAGTTCTCACAAGAAACACCGACCATAATAATAATAGAGTCACGAGATTAAAATAACAAGTTAAAAAAGTAATCGTAAACGATTTACAAAAAGCGCATTTCCACTTGCATTCATTTCCAATTTGTAAGATGCAACTTCTGTTAAAATCGTAAAAATCCGACCAAAAATTTATTTTTTATTTATTTATTTATTATCCAACTTTGACGTGCTACTACAATTTCAATTTATAAGAAGAATTACATTTCAATGCTTTCGTAAATAAGAAAGTTGGCACTGCGCATGCGCAAACCTAAATTTTGAAACTCATGTTAGATTTTCCTTTATTCCAAATGCCTATGTATCAAATTTCATTTAAATGCTTTTATAAATAAAAAAGTTTGCAATTCGGTTTATAAATGGTCGAGATGCGAATAGGGCACTGTGAATTTTGAATCGATTCGACTCAACTTTTGGCATTGCGTATTATGTCTTAGCCCATAATGAATTTCATGCAATTCAGTTCATAACTAACGGAGATGTCAAAGCGATCGGGCATTTCTAAACAAAGTTATGGTTCACACGGACAGATAGATGGACAGACAGACAAAGGAACAGACGGACAGACCAACACACAGCAATACAAAATTATAAATGATCTCTAGGATCATTAATAAACGGCAAACCATATTCATCGAATTCACGTGCACATACAGTCTCAAGAAAACGTAGCAATACCAGTGTAAGTGATATATTAAACGACGCCCTTGAACAAAATACACAAAAGCATAGGGAATACTTAACAGAAAAGAGAAGTTTAATGATTTACTTGAAAGTTATTAACAATTTTACAAAAATGATTATACAGGGTGTAGCACCTAAGATCCCTCGGATCATAACTCCTTTACCAAAAAAGATACCGAAGAAAGTCTTGGCACAAAACTGTACACAATTACCGCCGGCATGTTTCTAAAATATTTTTGATCACCAGGGGCGTGCTGTGTTTCAGTGGCGTATCAAACTTGCATTTTTTAAATGGAACACCCCATATTTTATTACTGATTTGGAGAGTACTTGAAAAGTACTTATTTTTTTATGTAACATGCAGCTGGGTCAAAGATTTTAAAAAACGTCGCTCGAATTTTCTCAAAAATGCTCGCGAGTATCGAGTTGTTTTAACTAATTTAAGAGCAAATTTTATAAACCTTTAGACATAGTTTCAGATTTGCAGAAATATGTACCTTAAGTGCTTCATTTTACATTCCCTCTAATGGGACTTTACCTTGTTTTCACTTATAATTGCACAGAGGTTTGTATTTTTCCTACGACTTTCATTGAAAATGACATATGTCGTACAATTATGTTTACTTGAAAATTGACAATTTCGCTCACTTATGGCAAAATGTAACGGAAAACAAAACGCACCCGTGTGATTTGCTTTCTCATAAGATTGACCATATAGTAGAAAGCAAATCGCATGTTACGTTTTGCTTTCGTAGTAGTCTAATCTTCTTGTAACATCAACGTAGTAGGCGTACGTCAAACTCTAAAATTACGATTAGTTTATTCTTGAGTTTATTCCCTTGTGCTACACATTTAATTCCTTACTTATTTTTAATGGCGAAAAGTGATTCTTCCATGGATGTAGAGTGTACTCCACCCAACATCAGGGAAGAGGCAAAATCCACTACACTCGAATTACTACCAACTAAATTGCGGCCGATATGAAAAGTAGCGTACGTCTAATAATATTAGTAAATTTCTTGCAGAAGCTCCAAACGACAAGTACCTACCTCTTTAGTCTTTGCTAAAGTAATTATAACAATAGTTCGTTAAAGAGAAATTGAATCTATTTCGTATTTTTAGATAGTTTTAGTAGTTGGTTCGAAATAAAATAACTTTTGTTTCATTATGTAAGTAGATTTTTGGTTGTATGGAGAGTCGTAGGAAAAATAGTGTACATGACTCGTTTGAAAGCCACTTTTCACACTCGTGTGAAAAGTATCGCTTTCAACACTCGTTACGTAATATACTATACCGAGTAAATTTTGGTTGTTTAGGTAATGAAAATCTGTTGCCTAGCAATTAGACGAGAAAAACTGTCAACTAATAAACATGCGACACCGAAGGTGGGGCATTTTTAGGATGACAGTTCTTCGAGTGCAATTGCTAAAAGGAAACAGATTTGAATTGCCACAACACAAATTTACTCGGTTTCAATACAAACCTCGAGTCGAGCCTCGAGTGTAATTCGGCAGGACAATTTAACGAACAAGAAATTCCCCAAATCAATCACTGACAAATGTCAAACTAGTCATATGGGAACGGATAATGCGATAATTAGGTAGAAAATGAATAAGTGAAAAAACCAGTGCATTTGTCACAGGAAAAGTTGCAAGTAACTTTTGCCGCTGTCAAGTAGACAATTGCACTGCGGATTATGTGATTTTTTATGCATGTGTTAAATCGTCAATGCAAAAAATAAACTTTCAAACCTTAATATCTCAGAATTACTTTTTTGTGACTAAGGCTATTGTATTTAATTAGAGTTAAAATCTAAAAGAGCTTTTATTTTATGTTCTGAGCATTCTATTAGGTGGTCCTTGAGACCATTGACCGCCCTAGACACAGCTCGCTCCCCAGGTAGTTTGAGTAACCCTCTATACATTTTCAAGTGTAAACGAGTCAATAAACTGTTATGACTACTTACTGTTGCCTTGGTCATAATTTTCCAAATCGAATTCATCATCCATATTCATTCGTGCCCCTTCTTCATTATTGGCAGCTTCGGACGCCCTACAACAGTTTAATGTTAATTACAGTTCCGATTTTATTGAGACCTACTGAAGATCTGCCTTCGTTTGGTTTATCAAACGAACTAATTCCTGCTTATTTAAGCGTACCTATAATTTACGATATTAGCTTTTTAGAACATCGAATTCAGAAGCAACTTTACTTTTTCAGGTAGACCTTTGGCTACTCCCTTTTTCACCCATTTCACGCATGATATGAAGTTAATTCGACCAGGTTTAGGTTCTTCCTCCATGTTTGCAATATTTTATTAAAGAAACCAACGTAAAATTTGAAATCGCACATGCATTATTAAAGGTTATGTTATGATTCGACAAATTTATACAGAGTGTTTCACAAATAATTATACAGTAAGGCCATTGTTTTTGCCATTGTTTATTCTGTAGTTGTTCTACTAAGTTCCGATCTGATTATTCGATTGGTTTGTATATGTCGTAGTCTTTTAATGAAATCCGTCATTTCACGAAACGCCTAGTCATTTATATGAAACTGTGGCACAGTGTACTTTCCAGGACCAAGCGATTGGATTCCCTTCCCATTCGAGATCGATAAATGGTATCCCTTATCGATCTAGAAGCGGAAGGAAAAATACCCCACACGTACAAATTTTCAGCGTTTCACTCAATGACTAGGCTTCGGACTAGGCTTTTCGTGAAATGACAGATTTCACTAAAAGACTACGACATATATATTATAATTTAAAGGATCTCTGCCATAACCCAGTCAAATTACTTATTTACATAGATCCAATTAATTACATTTAACAGGAAAGGCAATAATATATCCCTGTAGGCTGCTATGAGAATTTAAATTACGCGCACTCTTATCAGAGATGGAATGTTAAATCATAATTATAAAAAGTTTGCTATCAATCTAATTTGTGATTTGTGGTGTACCTTTGCATGGTCAAGGGGGCATATTTTTTTAATGGCACTCCTTCCGTAAATACCGGAAGTTATCGCCATTGCGGTTTTATAAAAAATAGAAACATACCATTTTCTATTTTTTTGTAAATGCGCCATTTTATTCCGAATTCAACGCATTTAAGATTTGCTAACACGGTTTTTGACATACGTCAATTTTTCTCTAAACATTTGGAGATGCAAAGGTCCATTCCAAAATTCATATATCTTAAACGGTACCATTCGAGATAAGTGAGTGCTCTTTGATTGCGATTCGCTAATCTTTAAAGTCTAAGGAATTTTTTGAGTGGCGTTATTAGGCGTGGAAGGCTTTGGAAACAATCGTTCCATTTGAAATGTTATTCAAATCCCATAACTCAGGAGTCATGGGCGATCAAAAATTATTGGCGGTCTAGTCGCCTTTGAAAGTTCAAGTTAAGTACGATTTCCAACAAAAATTCCAAAGGTGGCTGAACAGCAACTCATTTTTGATTGCATAATAGTCATTAACGCTCTGGGATAATTTCCATAAAGCAAACAGCATCTGCTGATTTGGGAGCTTCAGTAAAGATGCACAACAGAGCACAGAAATTGGTCAATTATTTTTGGGCTAATGGGTATAGTTAAGTGAACGGGCCGCTGGATCTTCCTGCACAAACATATTTAAGGTTCTCCAAAGTTAGGGACGAGGTTACATGATGGGGGGGGGGGCGCTATCCTCGAGCGTGTAATACTAACCTAAAGATTTTTCAGTTTTTTCCTGTCTTCTTCATCTTCTACAGTTTTGGCGTGGCGGAATTTTTTTTTCCTAGGGGCGAAATTAGCCACCTTTTGCAAGGCGCCCTAAAGATTCTTAGAGCTCTAATCGTGGTCTCTCTTTCTCGGGTCGCCAAGCTATGAGAAGTGCCCAAAAATTGAGTACTATTTTGTGGCGAGGTTTTATCGAAATCCACCAAAATGCGAATTACGAGTGAACTGGACGTCGGAACTGGGTAGTGGCAAAGGGTATATATGTGGTAGCCCCCGATCAGATCTTACTGATGGTGGAGTCAAAACTTTAAACCCGAATTGCGGGTGAGTAGGACGTCGGAGGTGGTTACCGACAAAGGGGAATATGGTAACCCCCGACGAGATCTTACTGATGGTGGAGTCAAAACTTCAAAAGTTCAAACGCGAATTACGTGTGCACGGGATGTCGGAAGCGGCTACCGATAAAGGGAATATGGTAGCCTTCAACAAGATCTTATTGATTTGATGGTAGAGTCAAAACTGGCTAATGGAATACTGATCTGCCACACAAAAATGCACTGCTAAAGTCCTATCGATCTCACACGAGGACTTTGATCAATTTCTTATTTCATTTGGTGATGCTTTATAATATGTAGTAATGTATGGTACCTACCTAGACATATCAACACTCTAAATTCATAAGCCGATAACAATAATAAAATTTCTGAAGGAACAAGGAAAGGTAGACTGACGGTTAGGCTCAAGGATTCCCTATAAAAAAATATGGCAGTTCAAAAGATTTCCAGGATGGTGAAAGTGAATAGTCGATTCATCGAAATTTCGAATGCAACCACAAGCTTGATGTTTGCCGCTTTGCGTGCACAACTCTGCGCAAGCGCAACCGCTTTTTGGTCAGGTGATCACTAATCATGGTTGTCATTTGTGTTGTGTATTTCACAAATTGAAAAATATTCTATTCTTAAAATTACTACTAATTTACGAATGTTCATATGATGTGTTTGAATTAGTATTAGTAATCATAGTGGCTATAATTACATTTTGTAATGTTAATTAATTAATTCTTTGTTAACTTATTTTTTATTTCTATTTTGATTTTAAAAAGGTTATGACCATGACAACTGAAGAAGGTATAATAAATTTGGTTCAATCGGATAGTGACGATGAGAGCGCCGTGAAAAAAACGAATTCGTCGCCCCCAAATGAAAAGAACAAAAGCACCCCTAAGAAAAGTGATTTTGTCGAGGACGAAGATGTACCCTCGGACTTCTTCGATGACTTCTTGAATAACGATTTTATGGACGGCCTGGACGTCGTCGATATTTGGGATGACGAATGCGAGAAGAAAGAAGGTAGGACGAAGAAATCGAGAAGCAAAAGTAGAAGCAGGTCTCGAAGGAGAGATTCGCGTTCTAGGCGGCGCAGGTCGCGAAGTGGTTCTATATTTCGTAGCAGAAGATACAGGGAGGAGTACAGGCGAAGGGGAAGGTCTAGAGAGCGCCGGTCCAGAGATAAACGATCAAGGGAAAGGTATACGGGCAAAGGCGAAAAGGATTCCGACTGTGACGAGTCGAACGTTGATCATAGAAGAGACCCGGCGAAAACTAAACGAGACATTCAGAAGGATAAAGATACATGTGCCAAAAAAGAGGAGGAGAAATCCATTTCAGAAAAGCTGAAAGTTGTGGAAACAGGTTTGGTTCCTCCAGGTTAGTATTTTGTTTTAAATCGGCTAAATTTACGAAGGCTTGGAACAACCACATGTAGATGTAGTTAAGACTCTGAATTTGAGGTTTAACATTTAAATTTAAATTCACAGCCTAAAAAAATTTAGAACTTAGCTTTATGTTGACCCGAGTTTGGCCTCTTCGTGTAAATTCTGTAGTCTTTCCACAGTATAATAAAAAATTCTTCCCCAATTTTACAGAAAATGAGGAAGCGTAAATCTAAACTTACGGAGAGGGGCTATACATTATTGTGGAAGTTTCTCAAATTTGTTTAAAAGCATAAAATCTTAAACCAGCCATTGTGCTCCATTAACTTGACCCCCCCCCCCCACACACACACTTGAATTACTATTATCAAAAAAAAACCAGCACATATATTCAAGACAAAAGCAAAAGAAAAAATAGTAATTCGGATGGTAGGGGGAGGGATTACAAAAAACGCATTAATCAATTACATGTTTATAAACCATGATAATAAAAAACAAAAGAATGCCAAAAAGTAAGCAAGTGTCACAAATAAACTATCTACTGTAAGTGTACTCCCTATTTCTTAGTAATATAAAACGAGGTAACTAAAAAGGTGAATTTAGAAAAAAATTAACTAGTCTAGCGCATTTTTTAAGAATTAAAAAAATGTGGTATTGTTTGCGTTTTGTCCGGTCTTAAGTTAAACTTTAGGAAATGGGGGGGGGGGGGGGTAAACACATATCCTACCCGTCATGGTATTGTAATGAAAGGTCTCATCGAAATAAATTGGTTTCTACCAAAACTTTCCCGTGCGACTCTTTTTCGAGATCAGTGAGCAACGGGGGGGGGGGGGGGTAAAATTTAATGTTATCTCTCACTGTATTCTAATTAAAGGTCTCAACGAAAGGAACCGTTTTCTACCAACTACTGCCCTCTTTCTGTCCTCTTATCAAAGTACAGGGTGGAGGGGAGTGGAACTAGTGGTACTCCAATGAAAGGTCTCAACGAAAGGAATTGATTTCTACCAACCACACAACCACAGCCCTCCTCCTTGACCTCTTATCGTAATCGGGTATATTCCCTTATACCTCAAGAATGGATTGTCGGAAGAGGATACTCACAAAGGGCGATTGAGACGTCTGCAAGAAATATATCCATTGGTGATGTCAAAACAAAAGCTATTTCGGTTAAAAAAATGCGCTTCACAATTTATACTTTTTTTAAATAATATTCTTTTACTATGAAATAAGGAGTACACGAGGGAGTACACTGGCAGCAAATCATAAATTTATGGCACTTGTTTGCTGTCTGGCATTCTTTGGTTTTTTATTATCTTCGCCTACTCCTTTTTATGAGCATGTTAATAATTAATGTGTAATTATTTTGGTGAAAATTATTGAATAACTTAAAAACTACGGGGTTTTTGCACAGGACATCCCTTATATAAATTGAAGAGCACAAAAAAGACTATCGAATAGAGAAATAAAATAGTGATAGTTCCATTAAAAAAAAGTTTGCACTTTGAAATATGAAAATTAATAATTTAATTTGGTAGCATTGGGAAAAAACCAAATAGTGAATAGATTTTCATGCAGAGGTTAAAAAACGTGTTAAAAAATGACATCGAATTAACTGAAAATATACAGGGTGTTCTATTTAAAAAAATCCGCTGTGTATTGACACCGTAAAAATGGGACACCCTGTACACGCAAAAGTAATTTCTGTAGATGCGAAACGTTCTATAGTTGACGTTTCCACAAAAGGTTTTTTGATATTTTTTCCCAGGTATGAGCTACGAAAGACAGGCGCACTTTTGCAGGACCCTGTATTTTCGCATTATATGTCGGTTTTTTATCAGTATATGGTTGGGTAGTTTTCCAGTAATTTTCTTAACCTTTGTAGAAATGCGATAGAAATGTTATTTTGTGAATATTCGAAAAAACAAAAGAAAGCGAAAAGAAATTTGATTTGCTCTTGGGTTTATTTTTAAGTTGTATTTATGAGTTATGACTTTAGCCGTGTGGTGTAATGTACACTGTGTCCAAGATAAGAATGTCTATGATGGGGATCTCGGAAACCATAGAAGAGTTTTTTTGGTGATGGAACCCTTTTAGAAAATTAAATTTGAAAAACTGAATAGAAATCCCTGCGATCACACAAGAGCTTGGAAAAGAAATGAAAATTAATTTTTATTTTAATAACTAATAATAAAACGAAATTGTGGCATGAATAAATTTAATCTGTAATAGTATCCACCACTTACTGTTTACATGTTTCTGCACATGTTTGGACAATGTTGAATAGCATTATAACATTTCTGCTGTTATTTCATGTATCACTTGGATTTTCAATTATCATAATTAACATATTTTGGCTAATGGGGATCTACGTGCAATAAGAATAAGAAATCATCAGCGTAGATTTAGTTTAAATTTATTCGTGCCACATTGTGATAAGTTATTGTAATAGTTATTTACACAAGTCGGGGAAATGATACATTACTGGCGAGGAAACATTGAAGTGCGAGGCCCCGCCGAGTACTTTAACGTCCGAGTCAGGTAATGTCATTTTACTGACAAGTTTTGTATTAAATTTTACCTGAAATCGTATTTTAATATAAAATTTCAATTGTTATATAAAACTTTTGATTAATGTCAATCTGTTAGTGATTACAGGAGTCATTATAGACATTTGGAAATGATTTTTTGAATCGGCGTTTGTTTTACTTTTATTTGAAGTGCCTACATACAAAATTTCTTTTAAATATCTTAACAAATAAACAAATTGGGATTGCGCAAACACAAAAGAAGGGTTGCGCATGCGCAATTTGTTTTTTTTATTTATCTTCATAGTTGCCTGAGGTTTAAGGAATATTTACTGACACAGAAAACCGGACATTCATGCATCTTAAAAAAATTTTTTGGATTTCATACACTACTAAACTCTTTTTGGGACTTCTTAGATCATTAGAAAGATATTTTCTAGAAACCTCCATTCCTTGGGTCTTTTAAAGTCTGTAGAGATGTCTTTTGACATAGTCATTATTATGGGCGGTATTGATGTGCAGTAAATTCTTCTAGATCTAGATCGTCTAGACTGACCAAATGTTAATAATAATAATAATAATAATCATGTCGTTTATTAAATCACGCTAATCATATAAGGTAACAAGAATATCTTAATAATAAAATGTACAAGTGCGCAATTTAAAAGGGCGAAGTTCAGATGCTAACGGGAAATCCATTAGCCCTGCTCTTCCACTTAACCCTTTGCATTGTAGAAATTAAATTATATATAACCTACTTACATGTAAAAAACTTTCTCCAAGAGCGAGTCATTCAGATCGGTTGATACAAACCAACAAAACCATCTGCACGGTCTCTAACTGGGATAACCCATTCACTATTTTATGTTATGTTTGATTAAGAAATTTTAATTTTGGCAATAGTGTTAGTACCTTATATAAGTAAATCTGGCGATTTTTTAAATAAAAATCCCTTGATTTAAACCACTCATTTGAATCATCTCAACCCTGCTCCAGGTACCGAATTGGAGGTCGATTTAAATGATCTTAAACCTGTTGATCCGAAGGCAGAGTCTAAATCTAAAGCCGCCAATCGTGAGAAGCAAAGATCAGATTCACCCCAGAAGCGTGTAGATAGAACCTCAAGACTGTATGGCTCTAAGCGTACTTATCAATATACGAGAAGCCCACATTGGCGTAAATCCAGGTCACCCCTGAGGTATTCTAGATCTCCCCTGTCGAAACGAAGGCGAAGTTTGGAACGTAGAAGTAGAAGAGACTATTCGGCCGACAGATACAGACGACGATCGAGAAGTCTCAGCTTTGAGTTAAGTCCGGAACCTTCATCCAATAGAAATCGAGAAAAACACACATCCTGGTCTAAGCGTTCGAGTAGCAACACAAGAGATTTTCTAGAGGAATTGGCCACAAAATTGGCTAAGTCGGAGAAAAAGAAGTACTACAACAAAGTGAAAGAAATAATTGCTCAACCTCCAAAACAGCAACCCCCACACACTTATCACCCAGTTCCACCTGTCCCGCCTCCAGGACCAGTCCCAGCGCCAATACGAGCGCCTGCTCCATACTTTCCTCAACACATGGACCCTGCTGCTCAGTATGACCACCATTTCTTTATTGGTCAGCAATTTCCCCTAAATCCCATGCATTATCCTCATCCACTTCAAGGCATGCCGCCCGCTGTAGGTAA